GAATCACTATGTTGTACAACTGAAACTTATGTTGGAAATCAACAATGCCTCAATAAAAATACGAATAATAATAAAAACCATTACTAGAACGTCTCCTTGTAGGAGATGCCAGCTGGTTTTACACGAAACCTCTGCTTTTGATATCCCTATTTTGGCAGAACCTTTAACTTAAGTTCCTGGGTCTTAACTTTATTGTGTCTCTGTGCACACAAACTCTTGGGACAATACCTCCATTTTAAACCAAGCAATACAGATCTTGACTCAATAGTAACATCATGACAGGGATGCCAGTCTAGAATTTTTTAGTGGAAGGGCAGAAGCATATTGAAATCTCCGGCTCAGCTCCCCACCACAGTGGCAGAACACAGAAGGTAAACAAAGGAGCCTTTCTGATGATTTAAAACTGAGTGTATCTAATCCATTCATGGAGAGTGTGGCCTGGCTTTAAGCCATTTTTGCTGTTTGTACCCTTGATTCACCTCTGTGGGTCCCTGTGCTCCCTCTGATGTAGTTACAGCATTGGAAATTCTACTTTAAATGCAGGTGTAGAAATCAGTTACTGTGTCTCTTCAGTTGCTGCATAACCTTTGAGGAATTAATTTCGGCAGTGTAAAATAGAGAGTTAGCCATATAATACCAAAGAAGTGCTTCCAGAAATTTCTGGGGTGGGGTGAGATGGGGTGGAAATCATATCATGTAGACCTTGGGAGAGGAAGTTCTTTTTTCTTTATAGTGCACTAAACATGTGATTTTTTTTAAAAGGAGTTAAATGTTTTTCAATGCAGTTTTTCCTCTTTATAGAAAAAGAAGCCAAAATAAAGCCACACTTTTAAGTTAGAACATAAAACATAAACTATATATTGGTTCTGTATTGGGCTAGCTAAGTGTGGAAGGCAGAGAAGAGAACTGGAGAAAGGAATGTAACCTCTCTGTGTATAAAGCTTGGAAGATAACGATTGACTACATCAACGAGCACCTTTTTTGTAACCTTTTATATCTACAAAGAAGGAAACTGATTTAAGCTGTTGCCATCGGAGCTGAAATTTGAGGGCATAGGTATTTTTGAACCAACCTCACCCCCCCACACCAGCATTTTTGTTTTTGTTTTTATGGAAAAACAATGTTTTGCAACATAATGAGGGTCATAAATTGTTACAAAATAAAAAACTTTTCATTCAGTAGGATCATTTCTGGTCCTTTTGACTTCCTACTAAAGACTTCTTAGCCATATAGTTTGCCCAGCATGATACACAATCAGCTTTTGAGGTTTGCCCTGTGGACCAGATGCAACAAAGCCCAGAATCGTTGGCTGTCTCCTAATTGGTGTGAGTATAAAAAGCTGGCTGAATTTGGCACTTTTTTCCTCTACTGCTGCAAGCCCAGATTTGCGATGACCTTGAGGGACCACCATGGGTAAATACATCCTAATGTGGGTTGCTCGTTTTCCACGTGACCTTAAATGACCCTATAAATCTCCCCCAAACCAGAGAGGCTCCAGCCAAGTTACTATTTGGAAGAATTATAATCTAAAGAGGTGGTTGATAGACTGATATTACCATCCAGGATTTTTATTCAGACCTCTGTTCTCAAATCTTGCAGGTTAGATAGACCTTCGTTTAAGGAAAGCGGTGACCATAGTCTTTGTACTTGTAAACAGAAGCCTGCTGCCTGTAGAGGAAGCTATCAGTTGTGACATGGTCCACAGGGACCTCAACCAGAGCCCCTTTGGAAGAGGGGCATCTTATTTCTCTGAGTGAGACAGTTTTAACTGGACATATGATCTGAGAAACTGAGCCGTTGGTGGCCCTGTTTGAGGGTATGTTTTGTGTACTCGCATCGCTGCAGATTCCTCAGGACCACTTTCTTACGTGGTCCCTGGGGATGGCTTTGCCTGACAGGGATGCTAGAACAAGTCATTGCAGTTTTGTACTTTCTAGAGAATTGCCCTGGAAGATAATGAACTCAGGGGAAAAGTTTACAGCTTCTGCAATGCATAAAGTTACAGAAACAGTTTAGCTGGTTGTAAATGCACAGAACTAGTTCCATTTGCTCTTCTTGGATGTCTTTTAAAGGAATTCTTTGGCTCTCGATCTTTCAAAAAATATTGAGCAGACTGGGGAAAAAATTCTAAAGTTTAACTAGAGTAACCGTCTTCCTACCTTTCAAAATCGAAGATAGGTGTATGTACATCTTCGGGAACAATATACTTCAGGCTTTAACAAAAAAGAATGTTGTCGGGAAGTGAAAAACATAATAATTAGAATGTCAGAATGAAGAGAATAATGAATGTACTATTTTAGAAATATAATGAATGCACTATTTAGAAAACTGGGAAAAAGTCAATATGTTGGTTTCCCAAAAAATCATTCATCTTGTAAAGGTCCTAGTACCTGACTTCTGCATACCACAGTTTTCCTTCCATAGCTGTTTCACATGCATTGTATCATAAGACTTTCGTAACAGCATTGTGGGATAGCAAAACTATTATCCCCTTCAACATTTGGGAAATAAAGACTTACCCAACATTAAATGACTTGCCAGGGACACTTGAGGCATTTTTGGTGGCGGAGCCCACATAGAACTTGGGTCTTCTGATTTTGTTCTGCTGAGCAACCACCCTGTGCCAGGTAGGTATGTACATGGGGCAGGGGGTAGAGCGTAAATGAGGCCCGTCCCAGAGATCGAAATAAACAAGTAAACAAAGTAACTGCTGCTGTGATGAGTGCTGAGAAGAAAACAAAGAGTGTGACAGTGAGGAAAGAGATTCGAGAAGGGTGATCAGAGACGATCAGAGGAAAGGATATTTCTCCTATGACTTGAGGGATATGGAAGGGCCAGTCAGGCCGGGATTCAGGGAAAAATGATCTCAACATGGGAAAAGCAAGTGCAAATGTCCTGAGGCAGGAAAGAGACTGTGGTGTTCTAGGAACTTGTAGAAAGGCTGGTATTGCTTAGAGCTTAATGAGCAAGAAAAAAGCAGAATAACATGAAGTTGGAGAGAATTCAGTGCAAACTGTGGAAGCAGACCCTCACCCTCTCACCTCAAGCCCCCGGGCTCCAGCACTACTAGGACCGTTATTGCGTTTGAGGCAGAAAGTTGGGGGGATCCAAAATAAGAGGATACGATAACCTACTTTATTTATGATGCTGGGTATTTTAATTTTTTTGTTTTTAAAGAAAAAAAGCACTTTTTTTTTTTCTCGGCCATGTATGAAGTGTTAGTGTTACTGTCAACCCCCTGAGAAACTAGCCAATAAACATTGTGCAGAACCTCCACGCAAGGATGTCAAAAAAAAAAAAGATGAAGTTGGAGAGGAAGGCAGGGGCAGGAACAGGCTGGGCCTCTGTCCGTGGAAAGGATTTCTGATTTGACTGTAAGTGCAATGAAACCCAAGTGAAGGTGATCTAAGTGTAAGGAGTGGGGTAGGGAGGGGGAGTGATGTGATTGATGGGTTTAAAAGGTCCTTTTGGCTACAGTACAGAGAGTGGGTTAGAGCAGCGGTCCCCAACCGTTTTGGCACCAGGGACTGGTTTCGTGGAAGACAGTTTTTCCATGGACCAGGGTGGCGGGGTGGGGGTAGGCTCAGGAGTGATGCGAGCGACGGGGAGCGGCAGGTGAAGCTTCCCTCGCTGTCCCGTCGCCCACCTCCTGCTGTGCGGCCCGTGGACTGGGGGTTGGGGACCCCTGGGTTAGAGGGAAGCAAGGGAGGCTAGTGAGGAAGTTACTTCATATACAGGCAAGAGTTGATGCTGGCTTGGGTTACAGTGGAAAGGGATGGGTGGATTCCCCCTACATCCCCTACATTTTGGATGCAGAACCAACAGGGTTTTTCTACTGCCAAGAGATTGGAATGGCAACCTCGCATTATGGTTAATAGCGTAGGCTCTGAAATCGGGCCACAGTTGAAAATCCTGGCTCCTCCACATACTAGCTACTTACCCTCTGTGACTCGGTTTCCTAATCTGAAAAATGGAGACAATGATAGTACCTCCCTCACAGGTTTATTGAATGGAATTCATAAGATAATGTAAATGGTACTGGCACTCAGCATAGACCATTAGAGAGCAACAGGTCTGTGTCCTCTGACACTGGCAGCATGAAGATTTTTGTTGACTTTGGCCAGAACAGCCTCAGCTGAGGGGGCAGTGGAGCCAAGCTGGACTGAGTACCACCTGAGGGGGCCTGGGTAGGGGGAGTAGAGGTCCCCTTCTCTCCACTCCCTTAAGGGGGAGCAGCTGGATATACAAACAGGTATGTAATGGGGGAACGTGTTCCCGTCATCCCAAGAGTGAAACAGGGTCTAATGATGGGTAGGTCTCTGCTTCCCCATTTAGAGAAGGAGGAATTTGGACTCAATCACCATTGAAGTTCTTGTCAGCTTTAGGATTTTCCTTCTAAGCTTCTTCAAGAATTATGGGATAATTAATTCAGCTTTGGTGGGGAAGGCCCAGAAAAGTCAATTCTATTATTTCAATTGTTTTTCTCCTATAGAAAATTATGTTGACCTCAGAAATCGTTTACATTCTAACAGTTCACAGACCCAGTTTAGAAGAGGACTCATTCACAGTATACTGTGAAATGAAAGAAACAGCTAAGACAGTGCCTAAGGAGTGAGCCTTCTTGTTAAAAAGCAAGCCGGGGGTGGGGGAGATAAATTGGGAGACTGGGATTGACATATGCACACTACTATATAAAATAGATAACTAATAAGAACCTACTGTATAGCACAGGGGACTCTACTCAGTACTCAGCACTCTATGGGAATAGAATCTAGAAAAGAGTGGATATGTGTATATGTATAACTGATTCACTTTGCCATACACTTGAAACTAACACAACATTGTAAATCAGCTATATTCCAATAAAAATTAATTTTAAAAAGAAACCTAAAAAAACTTTTTTTAATTAAAAAAAAATTTTTGTTTTTACCAAAGAAAAAAAAAGGAAGGCAAAGCAGGCATGTTTATTTAAAACAGTCTGGATGGACATACTGCCACCGAATGCTATGGCCAGGTGGCCGATTACTGGTGAGCTTTGTTTTCTTTTTTAGACTGTTTTGACTTCCTGATTTAAGAAAATAAAGAAGAAAGTTTACTTTTACAAACAGAGAATGGAAAACCTTTTTTTTTTTTCCTTTTTGAGACTATAACCTCTTATTATTTGAGGACGTTTGTCCTCAATTTATATTGTATGGTATTAATGACCCAGTGACACCATTCTTACTGTTTAGCTGCACACAGTCCGATAATTATTTGCCTTTTGCAATCCTCCCTCTAGAACAATGAAGATGTAAAAGGTCATCAGAGCAAGAAACCTGCCTTTCTGCTCCTTTGCTGACTTCAGGTGCTATGGGGGCATTGAGGAAGTGCATCTCAGCTGAGTCATCCTCCCACTAATGGTCTTACTCCAAAACTTTCCTTGGGTTTGGTGATGAGCATGTCACCAAGGGGAGAATCAATGGCTTTATTGAAATCAGAGAGGTGCAGTAGGAGGACCTTGGCTTATTCAACTAGATCAGGATTTTTTTCTTTTTTTTTGAGTGAGGTCATCTCTATATTAGTGTTCTTAAGTGATTCCTCTTTGTAAGACTTTAGAAAGAAACAAAATTCTGACATTTCCAAATCAATAAACTCTTCAAAGCCTATTTTTTACACTGACATATAACGATACAAACTTTAAGAATTTCCAGGTGGCCCATAGAGGAAATATTCACCACGTAGAGAGAGGTTGCACCCAGGCAGTTTTCTAAAGCAATTAGTAATTCTCAGCCCAATCTGTGTCACTGGTCACAACAAGAACAAGTGAATCAGTGAATAGTCAGTGACAGGATACAAGTGTAACTGATGGCAGAATTTCTTAGGAGGAGCTCGCTTTCTTTTCCTTTAGTGGATTCCACTGGCTGGGAGATTGACTGATCTCCTTCACTGGCATGTGGATTGGCGCCAGCCTCTGATTGCAGGAACAGAACGTGTTCATCAGCCAGCATTCCTCCAGGCTGATTCTCTGTCTAAATAAGCCCTTAAACTGGGTGGAAGTTCTGAGGACTTCAAACGTGGTTTGATGTTCACTTCTGTTCCAACTTTAGGACAGCTAGATAAGACACAGTAATGAGAAATTTTAATCAAGGACTAAAACTTGTGGAAAATAAGGAGTATTTTTAGATTTATATTCCAAGAGACAGCATTGCCTAGAGGGTTCATCCCTGGAGAAAGACTCTCTGGGTTCAAGTTCCAACTAAAGCACTTTCTAGTTCTGTATAACCTTGGGCAATTTCTTTATCTCCACGTGCCTCAGTTTCCTGTCTTGTAAAAGAGGGAGAGAGGTAGTACCTACCTCATTGGTCTGTGGAGGGAACTGAGTTATTACATACGGAGTACCTAGAACAATGCCCCGAGTAACAACTCTTTATTGAGTGATTCTACATTAAGAATAATGATATTACTAAATTAATAACGAGCATTACATGGACGCATTCAAGCATTGGTTCTAAAGTATTAAAGTCATACCTGCATTAACCAGGCAGTCAAGACCTGGACTGTGCCAAAGCACTTTGCATGCATTACCTCACTTAACTTCAAAGGCCCTTTGAGGTCGTAACTATTATTAACATCTTTTTACTGATGGGGACACAGAGATGTGGAGAGGTTGAGGGGCTTGTCCAGGGTCCAGCGCAGGGGCCTCCCGCAAGCTGAAGCCCGGCTGTGCCGCCAGGACCACGTGTGGCTGCCTCTTCTCCAGCTCAGCCCAGAGCAAGGTCTTATTAGCTCCCAGCTGCTTTATCCTTCCTTCTGCCCTTTCCACCTCCTCCTTTGGTCAGAAAAGTGAAGGTCATTTCCTTCACATTGCCTAAAATTGTTTAGTGGATTCTTTTCTTAAAAACAAACAAAACAAAACAAACACCAGCACGTCCTGTGTACTACACTGGAAAAACCCCAAGATTTGGAGTCAGGCAAGCTGGGTGCCGGGAAAGAAAAGACCTGTAATGTGCCCTGAGGACCTCTGCGGGCAACTCCTTTCACCCAGGCTCCAGAGCCCTCACAGCCCCAGCGAGGGCACTTCTAATCCCCAAGTTGAGACCAGAAAACCAGGCTTAGTTTGATCGGTCTTAAAGCCGCTGCTTCTCCAGGGATCCATGTCCGGGTCTGGGGGCATCCTGAAGCCCTTACACTACTTTCTCTTCTCCTCCCGGTGCCCGCCCCCCCCCCACACACACATACACACCTGTGTGAGCGACTGGGAAGACGTGCAGGTGTGCAGGGAGGGAGCAGGACGGGCGCAGGGGCGGAGGGGCAGAGGTCACCTCATCCGCAACATGCACGGTGGGCCCCGCAGTCTTGGTGCCTAAGCTAAACCATGTGCACAACCCTTCCTCCAGTTCGTTGGTGATTTACCATTCGCCCTCTTGCCCTGGGTTAGGAGTCACGTACCTCAGTGACAGCCGTGGGTTTTCAATTGCTGACGAATTGCTGACGAACAAGAGTTTGTTGAAAAGCTGCTAGTGGCTGTGGCCATTTAGCCCTGAACGCAATTATAGCCACTTAGCTGGGGTGTACCTTGGTGTGCCTGCTGTTTTCTTTAAGACTGTAAACAATGCCTGGGAGGGTAGAGGAAAAGAAGATGGTTTGGGGAAAATGCTGCATTCCACATCCCTGTTGGGGTTTTATTGAATTATCCAAATAGACCTCATTTGATGTAGCGATCAACCCTTGCTGCCATTTCCTTCTCGATTCTGTGTCATTGCCCATGTGGTGATAACTCCCTAAGCAGGTCAGCTTCCTCGTCTGCTTGGGTCGGTGGGAGGGAAATACCCCTTCTGCCAGGGGTGGGGCATTATTTGTAATGTAAGACTACCTCGTGGCAGCAAAACACCTGCCTGCTGTCTGCCCATGAGCTTTGAGTGGGTGGGGTGTTTGTAGAAGGTGACCTCGCTGCCCTGGTTTCGGCTTTAGAAAAGACGTGGCCGCGTAATTGCCAGTCTTAGCCCAGCCAGCTCCAGTCAGACCTGGGTCACGCCTCTGGAAATCATCCCCATCCCTCCACCCGTGGCCCCTGGTAGAAGAGTACCCCAAGTAACAACTTTTTTTTTTTTTTTAAGATTTTTTCGATGTGGACCTTTTTTAAAGTCTTTATTGAATTTGTTACAATATTGCTTCTGTTTTATGCTGTGGCTTTTTGGCCGTGAGGAATGTGGGGTCTTAGCTTCCCGACCAGGGATCCTAGGGATTGAACCCGCACCCCCTGTATTGGAAGGCGAAGTCTTAATCACTGGACCACCAGGGGAGTTCCAACAACTCTTTATTGAGTGACTCTGCATTAATAATAATGATATTATTAAATTAACAAAGAACATTACATAGAAGCATGCAGGCATTCATTCTACAACATTGTATGTATGTCAACATCGTCTGTGCTGGGAGGGGCTGTGGGTATCATGCAGAGGTTGTGTCCTGAGAAAAGCTAAGGTTGAGAACTGTGATCTCTAAGCTCCTGCACCCGCGCTTCCCTGCCCCTCCTGAGAAGGCTTGGAGCACACACTTCCCTACTCCAGCTAGTGCGTCGACAGTCTGAGTTGAGCCAGGAGGCCATGGCTGCCTGCCCAGAGAGGGAGGGTCGCAGGGCACCGGGGAAGGAGAGGCGGCAGGCACGCTGTGAGGAGTCCTGGGGGAGCTAGCTCTGGGCCCTGTGTCTGAGCTTCGCCAGCCAGGGACAAGAATTAATTCTAAAGGAAGAAAGAGGAGGGAATCGGGACAGCCCAGAGGCCTTACTTTCTGACTTTCTTCCCACGCCAGACATCTTTAAGTGGGAGAGCTCGTCTGTCTCCGGGACAGCCTTTAACATCAGGGGAAACAAGCAGCCCTCCCTATTCTGCCCTGTCCTAAGTCCAAGTAAAGCCCCTTCACCTACTCACCATGCCAGAAATGCCTTTGACTGAAAGCATTCCTTTCCCCAAGTTAGAAGGAACAAGGGGTGGAGGTGCAAGCCTTTTGCTGAGAATGAGCTTTTATCAAATCCTGAAAGGGGCCCAGTCTGGGGAGATGTCATCAGGTTATCCGCAGGCACTGAAACCTTTGCCCTTTTATGTAAGTGTGATGTTGGTCAGCAAAGATGTTGTCTGGACCTGGTAATGGAGAAGGAGAAGAAGGGATGAATTTGAGGCGTATTTGTGAGATGATCCTGTGGGTGTACAGGAAATGGAAGAGTCGGGTGGCTTTCGAGTTTCGAGCTTGGGTCATTGAGTGGATAAACTGAGACAGAAAACACAGGAGAGGTGAAGGTGTCCTGTTTGGTTATGGACTCATTGATGTTGAGTGCCCGTGGGCTATCTAGTGGAGATGTCTATCAAGCAATTGGATGTTCACGTCAGAAGCTTGGGCAAGACGTAGGTCCTGAAGATAAAGGTGTTGGCAATGTATATACATGGAAGGTATACATGGAAATCCCGAAAGCAAGGAAGAGTGTTTGTGAGAAGAGCAGGAAGCTAAGAATAGGACTCCGGAGAAACCCACAGAGGAGAGACTGAGGTGTGGTGGGGAGGACCCAGATTCTACGGAACAGTTCAGCGTTGATAAATAAGGTATGGTTCTTTAAAGGAGGGTAATTCAAGTGAGGGTGAATGAGAGTATGGCATTCCTAGGAGAGCTTTTTCAATCAATCTGTATAAAAGAAAACTACAAAAGTAAATCAGGTTCAAATGCCTTGCTACCTCTTCTAAGGAAATTGGGTACAATGATTATGTCCTCGTTTAAGATTTATTGAGACGTGTAAGGAAATTGTATGTGGGCTCCTCAGGCCTCCCCAGTTCTCAGTAACTGAACCTCCTGGAAGCAGGCCTAGGAGCTTGGTCAGCCCTCCTGTCCTCGAGCCTCTGGGTAATACCCCCTGGATTTCCCCATTTCCTGCTGCTCCCCAAATAAGCACATGTAATGCCCTTCTGTTGGGTAGCCCATTTTTATCTGTTAAAGTAATATAATCATTTTCAACATTCTAATAGTCCAAAAGGCTATTCAGTGATAAGTAAATCCCCCTCCTCCCCAGGCTCCAGATCCTTAGTCCTTCTGGAAGTATTGGCCTGTGGGCCAGATCCAGCCAGCTGCCTGTTTTTGTAAATAAAGTTTTATTGGAGCCCAGCCACACCCAGTCATTTACACACAGTCTATGGCTGCTTTCCCACTACAGCAGCAGAGGTGAGTAGTTGTGACAAAGAAAGAAAAAGCTTGGCAACGTGTGCTCATTGTGTCTAGGCTTCCGGGTGTATGTATATAGTCTTTTCTGGACACATTTGTGAGCTCGCTCTACACCGTTCGTTATTTCTGTTTCATAGTCTACAGTGGGGACTGTTCCACAGGGATATGTGCAGATTCTTCTCAGGCTTTTTCACCCGGTGTGGGTGTAATTAATCAATGCCCTGTAGGGCATTTTAGTGCTTTTCAGTCTTTAGCCTTAACTTCAGGGAAGCTTCTCATTACACACCTTCTTTGCACACACGTGAGCTCTTCTGGATGGGTTTGTAAAACTGACAGATTCTGCCAAACTGGCCCCTGGCCCCCACCTTCTCTCAATGCGTCAGGTTCTTTTCATCTAAAGGGCTAAATTTCTAATCCCTGTGAGGAAATGGGGCCTAACAAAATAAGTAAGTGAAATGTGCAAGTTTACCAAATTTGTATAATCTATATAAAATTTTAGTGTCTAATATTTACTATAGCTCCTTTGGGGGTCTGCCCACTGCTCTTATTTCTGAAGGTGGGTGTCTTAGTCCGTGCAGGCAGCTATGATAAAATACCACAGACTGGGAGGCTTATCAACAACAGAAATGTATTTCTCACCGTTCTAGTGGCTGGGAAATCCAAGATCAAGGCTCCAGCAGATTCTGTGCCTGATGAAAGCTTGCTTCCCAGTTCATAGACAACAAGCTTTGCACCGTGTCCTCACATGGTGGAAGGGGCAAGGGAGCTTCCTGGGGTCTCTTTTGTAAGGGCACCAATCCTATTTATGCGGACTTCACCCTCATGACCTAAAAATTTCCCCAAAAGCCCCACCTCCTAATACAATCAGTATTAGGCAGTTAAGTTTCAACTTAAAATTTGGGGCGGGGGGATGCAAACATTCAGTTTATAGCAGTGATTTACTGGGCTTTCCCCATTTGACATCAGATCTAGATCTAATCAGGATCTGAAGGTAGAATCAAGATGGATATTCCTTTTAGCTTCAGGTGGGTTATTTGCATTTCTAATGACCTCTTGACAACATCCAATTCTCTAGGCCTCTGCCCAAACCAGAGCAATCCCTCCCCAAATATGCTAAGCACAAATACAGACAATTAAGATACTTAGTACCTATATTTTAGGAGTTAACATTAGTTTTCATTCTATTTGGTAACCAACATCTCTCAAAATTAGGTATCGTTAACACAGACTACGACAAAATACAACCATTGCACATATTTCCATTTCCTTTTTTCTGGATTCTTTTAAAGGACAAGAATCTTGTTTTAATCATCTTTGGGCCCAGCATTCTGCCTGGTGTGTGGTAGGCACCCAGTGGATGTTGGTTGAACTGAACTGATTTTCTCTTCATATTTCAATGGAATTATTCCTTTGTTCTCTTACAGAATGAAGACATTTAAATGTTGTTTTAAATACCACCTAAAGCAGAAAGCTTTCATCCTGTTTCTAACCCTATGGCTGTTCTCCTTGTTGAAGCTTCTAAATGTGAAACGCCTCCTTTTCCCCGAAAGAGGCATTTACTTGGTTGAGTACTCCCTAAGTACCTCGCCTTTTGTAAAGAACAGATATACCCATGTTAAGAATGAAATCGGGTATGAGATTAACTGTTCAGGTGTCTATGAACAGGAGCCTCTGGAAATCGGCAAGAGTCTGGAAATAAGAAGAAGAACCATCATCGACTTGGATGATGATGATGTTGTGGCAATGACCAGTGACTGTGACATTTATCAGGCCCTACGAAGCTACCACGAAAAGCTTGTTTCAAGGGAGGAGAAAAGCTTCCCAATAGCCTATTCTTTGGTTGTTCACAAAGATGCAATTATGGTTGAAAGGCTAATCCGTGCTATATACAACCAGCACAATATTTACTGCATCCATTATGACCGTAAATCATCTGATACCTTCAAAGTTGCCATGAACAATTTAGCTAAGTGCTTCTCTAATATTTTCATTGCTTCCAAATTAGAGATTGTGCAATATGCACACATTTCCAGACTCCAGGCTGATTTAAATTGCTTGTCAGACCTTCTGAAGTCTTCAGTTCAGTGGAAATATGTTATCAACCTGTGTGGGCAGGATTTTCCTTTGAAATCAAGCTTTGAATTAGTGTCAGAGTTGAAGAAACTCAATGGATCAAATATGTTAGAGACAGTGAAACCCCCTAACACTAAGATGGAAAGATTCACTTATCACCATGAACTCAGACAGGTGCCTTATGAATATGTGAAACTACCAGTGAGGACAAACATCTCCAAGGAAGCCCCCCCCCATAACATCGAGATATTTGTTGGCAGTGCTTATTTTGTTTTAAGTCGAGCATTTGTTAAATATGTTCTCAACAACTCCCTCGTTAAAGACTTTTTTGCCTGGTCTAAAGATACATACTCGCCTGATGAGCACTTTTGGGCTACCTTAATTCGGGTACCAGGAATCCCCGGGGAGATTTCTAGGACAGCCCAGGATGTGTCTGACCTACAGAGTAAGACCCGCCTGGTCAAATGGAACTATCTAGAAGGCCTTTTCTATCCCAGTTGTACTGGCTCTCACCTCCGAAGTGTGTGTATCTATGGAGCAGCAGAACTAAGGTGGCTTATGAAAGATGGACATTGGTTTGCTAATAAATTTGATTCTAAGGTGGACCCTGTCTTGATTCAATGCTTGGCGGAAAAGCTTGAAGAACAGCAGAGAGAGTGGATCACTTTATCTTCAGAAAAGTTATTTATGGCTAAAACAGCCACAACCACATTATGATAAAGTCATGATGGAAATAAGGTTAATATGGAATTGCATGCTATACCATGGCCAGTACCATTTGCGTTTAACCTTCTCATAGTCTGAAAGGTGTCTACAGTTCCACACACAAGGGAAAGTGACCTGGCCTTTAGTGACAATTAGTCTGTGGTTGGTTGGGTGTTTTCATGTACGTTTTTGCTTGTAATCTCACTGAGCTAAATGGGAGATTTTCAACAGTCAGTAATCTGATATCTATTGAGTTCCTGCTATATGCCAGGCACTTTTTTTAGAAACATGTAGGAATTGCATCCAAGTTGTGATGAGTTATACAGTGCCCTCAAGGAGCTGTGGCTTACCCCAATCACACAGCAACCTTAATATCTTAAGTTGTCCACGTAACAGGGTCCCACTGAAGAAGCTGTGGAGTGTGTGGTAATAATATAACCATAATAACCACCAGTTTCTGAGCAGTGTTGACGTACAGTGACCAACGTTCCACTTGCCTCTTAATTCAGCTCCCTAGACTTTTCTTAACCATTAGAATATTAGAAGGAGAGACTCTACTACCTCAGAAGAACTAAAAGAAGTGTCCAATTTCCTGCTTGCCAAAAGCATAACTTACCTTATGGTACCTCGCTTATTCAATTCAGGGTTGGGTGACTCTGTATGGGGGGCGCATTTCTAGTGTATGGATGTTAGGGAGGGGGTGAAGTTAAGTCGGGGGATTGGGACGGGTGGTGCCTGAGGAGGAACAAAGGGATTTGGGTGACTTTTCCATCATGTTACGCAATGGTGTCGTGAATGAGCTCCTTTGTAATTCAGCTGTTTCTTTAATACATTTACTGATTAACAGTTCAAAGTGTCACTCTCTCCAGAACGTCGAATCTAAGTCTTTCTGTTCATAGATTATCATTATATGTAAGGTTTTTTTTACAATGGAATAGTATAATTTTGTTTTGTGGAACTGTCAAGCTAAGCATCACTAAATTTTCTTGAAAAGGTTGTGTGAAATATGACAGCTTACTAAATTAACTATTAGTCATTAAAATAATGTACTTACTTCTCCGGCAACTGTCAAGTGGAGTCCAAACGTAAACTTATAAAAGCTCTAAGTTCATTGCAGTCTTCTCAGCTTCAATCCAAGAGAGAAAAAGCTAATTTTCCTAAGGACATAGCAAGAATAATCACTAATGATATTTTATGAAAACTACACCTTAGAAAACTACCAAAATCAGTCAAAATATACATATATTTTCATGTAACTATTGTGCTGGAGGTGAAATGGGACAGGAGTGGGGTCCTCAGAACAGGCTATAATATTTTTATGTCTCCTGGGAAGTAATGGTACTCATGTAAGAAATTCTCCATGATCTTATGTTTCAATGTCAGCCTCAATAACTACATAAAGATGTAGTAATCAAGACCAGTATGAGACTGTTGGAAGACAAGTATTTAAATGTTTTCAAATGTCTGTGTTCTACATGTGAAATTCCTTTTGCTTGTTTTAAAGTTTATGATACGATCTGCCAAGTGGCACCATTTCTCTGTCCCTTTCTTTTTCTCCTGAACTTGTTTGTTTTCCCTTTTTTTCCCCTACCCCTTTCAAATTACCAGTTTGTCCATGTGTGTGACCGTGACAATCTAATCACTATGATCTCCAGGAGCCTCAGTTTTCTTGGTCTGTAAAGTGAACAGTTGGATGTGTCCTTGGCTTCCTCACATATTTCTGTGTGAGAATCAATTGAGATAATATATAAAGTGGTTTGAAAATGAGGACAAACTATTGAAATATCAGCGAGCAGTCTTACTATGAGGCAAACATAGGTCTAACCGCATTGTGACACTTAACCATTTACCTTTTCTAAAAAACCTTCGAAATACAAAAAAGCCACAATTGCAGGGGCAACTTTTGTAACAGATTCCAGGTACTAAGAAACCCCTGTCACCACATCTGGGGCTCCTTTTAAACGAATAAGATTAGCAAATTGGTCCAGTGGCTTAGATCAGGAGTAGGGGTAGAAATACTTTTCCTACTGTCCAGGCTTAAATACACAAAGCCCTGTCGAAATCTTGTTTTCTATGCCTTTGGTCGTCAGAATAAATGAAAATGATGAAAAATAAATATCGACCTCCTGGTCTGGTGTCCTGCCTCCTGGTGAGAAATGATTCTATCCCTTGTTTATTGGGAAATTTTCCAGTGGTTAATCACTTTAATGCCATATTCAAATGAAACATGGCACCAAGAAGAGGCGGCAGTGCCTTCTCCACATGGACATATTTCTCAGGATTCAATTCCTGACATTCCAGGGAGCTTGTCAGATCATTCTCTCTTGCCTTGGAAATCCTGCAGATTCCCTGCATGTCTTCAAACCTCCCATCAAACCTGATTCGTCCCTAAAACAATTTGGTATGATTCTTTCTAGTCTGGAGAATGTTCTGCAGTCTGTGTTTTATAATTATTCTTTGCATAGTATTTATTGAATCTAGATTATCATTTGGCAATGAGACCAGGACCTTGGAGTTTGTAAATTATATTAGATAATATTAATAGTGAAAGAGCTACCCAAATATATCTACATTATGTGAATAATCTACTGTAATAATATTTAAAGACCAGTGTTGCTGCTATTTTTAATGTTTTGGTTATTTTAAGTGAAATATATGTAATGTTTTAAACTTAGGGAATTAAATTTGAAGATTTTTCTTGCCTTCCACAATGTGAATATTATACATAAATATATATATATTGACATATTGCAGAGAAAACAAAATGACAATCTTTTTTGAGAATGTAAAGTGAATGTACTCCATTTATGCTATAACTGTTGTTGTTGATGATGGAATGAGTTTTGATTTTTGTTAACATTTTTATCAACTGGTCTCTAAATTTTTTTTTGTTTTTTGTTTGTTTGTTTGAAAGACATATTTCTCATTGTATGAGTTTTAAGTAGATTGGTTTTGCATTTTTGTATTATGCTGCTACTAGATGTTAATTCTCCAGTACTATCAAATAAAATGTGCTCCGAAAACCAAGGCCCTGGAATCTTTGATGCTTCCTTTTTCAGGTTGTGCTGGTTCCCCACAAAGATTCTTTCAGTTGATGACACTTGCCCAATATTTGAAGAGCACAGTTAATTTCACATCAGAGTAAAAAAATTCAGTGTGTGCACTATACACAGAACATAGGCACACAAACTTGAATTTAATTTGGCAAAATCTCAAAGAATCTTTCAGAATTTCTCTGTTTTCATTCTCCTTCAAGTTGGTTTCTCCTCTAAGATTAACTATCTAGATAAATATTCTTGTTTCCTTGATTACTTTATGGAAGTTTATTCTCAATAGAGTAGGTTGAGCTCTTTATCTCACATCCCTCAATCCCTGGAAAATCAACTCTTTCTGCACCAGAATGCCTGCCTTGGTTGTAAAGCCCCATGAACATGAGGACCCTGGCTCTGCCAGTATCCTCAGGCTCGGTTGGTGAGTGATTCTGGATGAGTTTCCCTGTGTCCTGAATAACACCATCTTTTCCAGCTCTACTGAGCAGAGGAGCATTTGTCATCACTGATCCCCGCGCTCCCACCCCTACTCTGAAAATCCCCCTGGTCAGTTAGTTTTCTTCTATCACACTTCTAAAGCTATAACAGTTCCCAGCCTCCCTAGCTGACAAGGAGTATGCATGTCACACTCATAAATCACAATCCATCTCAAGGAGTAGGGCCATTTTAGGAAGCTTCAAGATAAAAAAAATTAACATCTACTTTAACCTAAGGTTAATTCTAGGTCTTGCCAAACTGGACAACTATGTAATCCCATGAAAGAAGTTGGACTGCTTTTGGTAGTGGCAGTGGTAGGATGGGTAGGTATACAGCATCATATTGAAGACCCATAGGCTTGATTCCCAGATTAGCAATTCCATATATTTTTAATTCCCTTTGGTGCCTACAAATCTGCATCTAAACTAGGACAACTGGCTTCTAGTTTCATGAAACCGATTATGAAGAAATCTTGGCAAGGGAAAGTAGATGATTGCAAATTTATTCCTACTACTTGGAAAAAATTTTCTATGATGATGCATGATAAACAGCTTGAGCTGTGCTTCAGAGACATGATCAGTGTGTCAACCCACGAAGATGCATAAAAGCCACAGGAAGACTATTCACCTGACCTCAGGTATGGCCTTCACGTAGAGTAGCACTGTCCTTCCTGGGGGCATCGTGGACAAAATCATGCAGAGGACAAATAGGAAAGAATCTGAGGAAAAATCTTGGTCAATGACCTGGGTAAATTTATTTTACTTTTTTGTTGTTGATATTGCTGTTGTTTTCTATAGAACAATAAAGGAAATTTAAACAGAAATCATTCATATTCATAATTCTAACATCCTGACAAAACCATTATAGTCCTCTGAATGCCCTTCTAATCTTATCCATACCCATATCCATTTTTTGTTTCTTCCCACTACCGGTATATTTTCAATCACTTTCCCATGTTGCTGCATGATCTTTATGGCTATCTAATGGTCATACCATAATTCACTCAGTCCTTCCTTTATTGTAGGACATTTGGATTGTAAACTCCTTTTATCTTTCTGTCATAACTAATGGTGCTGTGAACAGCTTTATACATAAATCTTTTTCTTTCCTTGAATCACTTCCTTATTTCTGAGAGAGGAATGACAATCCTGAAGAGAATGGATTTTTAAAAATTTATTGGTTTTTATATATGTTGCAAATCTCCCTCTCAAGGAATTGTATAGGACAGTTGGTTGGTGTATATCAACTACAGCCTCAACCTGTGTGAAATAAATTGTATTTATTTATTCTGATGAATGGCTAGTCTGATTCTCAAAGGTAAGCAAAGACCTTTGCCTAAAGCAAGGATGCAGCCAGTCCTCTAACAGATCAAAGAAGGTGTTTAACGTATGGTTAGTAAAGAGCTCTTTCAGAACAGTATTATTCTCAAAGTTTAAATTTTGATGACTGCTCCATTCCAGGAAGGATCTAAAGGCTGCTAGTTCCTTCTAGGATCCATTCTCCCTGGCTTCTATGGTTTAATTCTGAGCAACAATATGACCAACTGTTAATTCCCAGCCTTCCTTTTGTTAACTAGAATTTCAGAAGAGGAGACCTGACTGAAATAAGTAGGCATTTACTGGGGAGTTGTTAAGACTGCAGCCAGGGAGACAGTTTCAAGAAGCACTTGAATTATGTTCCCTGGGACTACAAAATGGGGGAGGCTTAAAAAGGCAAAACCCCACAAGGCTAGATAAATTGTCATGAATTAGGATTGAAGCTGGCAAGAAGTAAGAGTGTTTGTTAAGCAAGGGTTGGTTGAGATCTGAAATGATTACACAGTTGCGAAGAGGGAGAGAACTTTGAAGCTACAAGTTTGCAGCTAGCAGACATTGTTTTAAAAATGGCTGGTGGTGTCCTTGAGTTTGATATAATTCAGAGAAGATTCAGATTCTCAGTGATGTAGGAAGGTGTCTGAAACCACATCCAAAATGGCCATCCAGCTCCATTTTGGATGCCTGAACCATAGTTACTCTCTTTTGATCTTTAAATGAACTTAAATATGTAGTCACTTTCAACTAATGGTGGCAAATGAGAAAAAGCAGAAGTCATTGCACAGGGCAGCTGAAAACACACTTGAAAGGTGGGTTACCTAGCTTGCCTTTCCCCCACCTCCCTTACTTTTTCATACTCCCTGGAATGTGTTTGTAATAGCTGGAATTTCAGCAGCCATTTTAAAACCATGAGGGTGTAAGTTATAAGGCAAGGATAGAATAAAAATATGCCACTCGAACCACCCAAAGCTACCTACCTCCAGTCTTTTTTTATGGGAGAAAAAAACTGACATGTACCTTAAGCTACTGTTACCTCACTTCTCTATTACTAACAGCAGAACATGATCCCTAACTTAAATGATGTTTTTCTAGGACATTGCAATCATTCACCCATTATTTAATTTTGTCGTAATGGCTACTAATTATTTTTTTATTCAGGGTTATTATTAACCCAGTTTTACAGGTAGTTTCACTCAGTGTTGTTGAGAAGACCACTTGTGCAGGAAATATGGAGTCCAATATGGAAAGAGGTGAAAGGGGTCCCTAGGGTGATGGTGAAGGGACATCCTAGGTTGAAAGGTGGGTACCAATGGAAATGGCAACCAGTTCAGACCGGAGTAGGTCAGAAAGCTTTAGAGATTTCTTCAGGATGATGAATATAATGAATACCTTGTAAATCTGAGTGTATTTATTTAGAAGCAAATTAGACCATCGAGAATTAAGGACTGAATGAATGTCTGTGGGAAAAAATTATGAACTCAAAGGAGAAAAATGAGTGGTACAGCTGTGGCTTAACTGGAGGTACTGTTTTCATAGTCATAATCATATAATGTTAATCATGTACTATTTAAATGTTGATCTAATCAACACGATGCTGATATAATTTATTGGGAACTTGGGGAGATAAAAAGTGTGAACACATGGGGTGGGGAGTGTGGGTGTGTGTGTGAAAGATATCAAAATCATCTCCCATGGTGGTGATCAATAGGTAATGCCTAAGACTGAAACATCAAGTGTAGGAGTATAAGGATGTCATTCAGAAACGTGCAAGTAAAGCCAAAGAACCAGTTCAGAGAACTGAAACTAGTCTCCTCCGAGGAAGGGAAACGGGGGAAGAGATGGAAACTGCTGGTTTTTTTTCAACAAGCCTTGCAACCAGCTCCACAAACCTTAAAATAAAAACTGGGGGTGGGAGAGACAGACACTGGAAAGGAAAAAGACATGATCTGTGATCAAAGGCTGATTGTAATCTAAAAACTAGTGCAAATAACCAGAAACCTTACAAAGGTAGCTACTGTTTCTGTCTGCTCAGCCCTTGTCCCACCACCCATCCCTCCCAAGTCTTCAGAAAACAGCCCTCCTGGCTACAGAGGTGGTCAGGTGACCCAGGGTGGGCCAATTATAGTCCCTCATAGCCACAGTGAGTGGTCTGAGCGGGCACATGACCTAAACTAAGCCATTCGGGGCTACTGGGACTTTTCAAATTCCTGCCCAGGGATAAGAACCTCTTGTTCCTCTCTGATCACAAAACCCAAGGATATACCTCAAGGGCAGTTCTCCACCCCACCACCTGGCCAAGTTTGTACCAGCCAACGAAGTGAATGTGCCAAAAGCAACAGAGAAGAAATAGAGAAGGACAAAGAGAAGGTATTCAAGGCAGTGAATCCAGTCTTCCCTGAGACCAGCTCTATGCTGCCCTCTGGTCAGTTAAATCCCAGCCCAGTCAAATCCCTTCTTTTGTTTAAGCAAGGTTAAATTGGGTTTCTTTCCATTGTAGTCAAAAATACTAATACACAGTCAAAAACCGTCAAACAAACAACAACAAAAAAGAAACCATCAAAACTTTAAAATAATTTTATTATGGAAAGTTGCAAACAAACACAAAAGTAGAGAGTCTGGCATAATGAATTCCCACAGTCCATCACCCAGCCTCACAATTATTAACATTTTGACAATCTTGTTTCATCTGTCTATCTCTCCACCGTTTTTTCCTTAGAAATATTTCAAAAGAAAATCCCAGACGTTATATTATTTCACTTAGCCCCTGTGCTTTATGCACTGGTCCTGGTAAAAAGTAAGGTGTCAGACAAATGCCTGTTTTGTCCATATTTAAGCTATATGGTCAAATATTGGCAATATGAGATGGCTTGATCTAATACTTCGATATGAATGTAATCTAACTGCTAAGGATCTTTTTTTTGACTTAACCTCCACGCCATTATCATAGCTAACAAAATTAAGAATAATTCCTTAATCTCTAACACCAAGTCCATTTTCAAAATTTCCCAGTTGTAGCAAATATTTGTATCCACCATTTGCTTAAATCAGGATCCAGACAAGGTCTGCACAGTGATTTGGTTCAAATAACTTTTTAAGTGTTCTCTCATTTAGCACTCTTGAAGGAACCTAGAGAGGTGACACCAAATGGTGGGCAATCCTCAAACAGAAGAAGTCAGAAGAATTAGGT